GGGTCACAGGAGCAGGCTGTCGGCTACTACTACTACTACTACTACCACTACTACTACTACTACTACTACTACCACTACTACTACTACTACTACTACTACTACTACTACTACTGATTACTACCATCACTACTACTCCTGCTACCACTATACTACCTGGAAACGATTCTTACTGTATCGGCAATGGTGTGAAGCGAGAAGAAGGATTGAAAAGTCCTGGCATGGCATGGTCCGAGCTGCAGTGATACAGGACTTGCTTCGCGGCAGGTTGCGTGAGATTGACTGAGGCTGACGAGGGAAGCACGTGCATAAATGAGCACGACGAACCCGTGAACATGGGGCCTGGAGACCTACCACACCTGCCCTGTTGGAAGCCTGGCAAAGGCTGGACTTCTTGACTGTCTTGGCACACAGCTTACAGCTTCCCCGGTGACGATCAGAAAACTCTAAGGGAACACACAAAACTTCTGAATATGTTTGGCTTCATTCTGAACCTAGCAGTCAAGCATCATAGTAAAAGGAGGACAGGCAGCGCTTGAATGGGTGGCGGATGCCTCGCTTGCGATGCCTACGAGCTCAAAACGCACATGTAGATTCAATGCATGTGAACATCCATGGGCTCTCCTGACTCCCTGCAGGGTCCCCCTGCTGCAACCGTAGGATGCTTTGCATTGTGCGATCATAGTGGTGCCGGCATGAGCCTCTATGGTAAAAGTACATGGTATCAAGTGTCGCAAAAGTGGCAGATGTTCGTGTTCTTACGCTGGCATGAAAGACAGGAAACAAGCAAAAGACAAAACTGCTTTACAAACCAACAATTGGTTTGACTGCATGTCGGGTTTTGAAACTGGCGGGTGAGTGGAGGGTACAAAACGGTGCACCGAAACAAAATCCCTGCCCGGGAGCTCGCTACGGCCAGGAACTCCGGCAGCGTCGCTCTCCAAACATCCCAGGCTGCACGTGGAAGTACATGCCTCCGACCGGTTGCTTTTATCTGCAAAAATTTCCCAGAGCGTTGCTGTGGGAGTCAGAGTTGCTACTAGGCACTTGCGTTGGCTGCCCTCAGGACGACGAGTTCTGGCCGTTCAACAAATGGACTGGCGTCGCAAAGCCATGCCTGCTGGCCAGCATCACTCGTCTCCTAGGCTGATGCAGGTAGAAGGCGAGATGGAAAAGGTATACCTGTATAATCCTGTATTATATAGCTCATAGCCCTCCACCTAGTGCGCCAAGATCCCCCACCTGCGAGCTCGTGCGATGCAAAGGGTGTGTCCAATGCAAGAGAGCTCTCAACCGATCCATGGTCTTCAGTTGTGCCAGGAACGCAGTTCGGCGCTCACACTTGGACAATCAAGGCGAGGCATGGTGTTCGAGGTCTGCTGACAAGTGAAGCCAAGTCGAGTTCAAGGTCTGTGCAACACATAGCCAAGTAGATAAAACCTCTAATCATTGGGTAGGCCTTGCTCGCACTGAAATCCAGATGAGTACATGTATGATATGAGATACCTACTTCAGGCTTTCGGTGCCTACGTGGGAGTCACGGCTCTAGGGCCTCAGGTGCCAATCTGTGTTCGAGTGACCGTGGCATACCGTGGCACCTCCATGCTCAAGCCGCCGTATCTGGAAAACAGAACGCCACATGACTTCTTAAAGCCTGGCCGCTTCGATAGGCGACGCCGAAGAGCCTTTTCGCCGGCGCCAGTAGGGACGAGATGGCCCAAGGTACCTCTTGCACTGACGGCAGGCCACCAGCAAAAGAAGTCGGGGTCGAGTCGAGCCCCCGCCCGTCGGGGGCACGGCCGATCCGCACGAAGAGCGAGGCCAAACTCGAGGAGCTGGCTTTCGGCACGCGGACCACGACCCTAAGAATGTGTAAACATATGTAACATATGACTGCACGTCAAAGTGGCGGCCCTCTTTGCCTCGTTGCACAGCGTGATTTGGGACTGTCTGAATGCGGTTGAGAAGCACATGCCGATTCCGAAGCCTCGCAAAGCGATTGCTGACACAGCATGGTTTGACCTCCGTACATGACCGGGCATGACAGTAGGAGATTAGTTTGGTCATCTCTCCATGTCCACCGTACCAACAGGCCACCAGGTACCAGTCATGCCACCCTCGCAAACAGCTCGGTAACATCAGAGCTTGAAAGTCATGGAGCCCTCCCCAAGGCACCGCCAACCTTGTCTCCGGTTGCCGCTTGGTTGGAATCTCCGTTGCAGGAAGCTCGACGGCACGCATTCGCGGAGTATCCCAACCTGAGAGTTAGACTTTTGGAAGCACATGAAGCGTTGCCGGCGATTCGTCTCCGATCAGAGAGTTTGGATCAATTTCGATCACTGTCGCTTTGGTGCCTCCACTTCCCTCAGGCTGATGCTATATAGCAAAGAGATTGATTCAATGGCGATCAAGGGCCTCGTAGAGTATAGAATAAGGAGATGACCTTTATCTGAAGTCGATCAGTACCGTCGCTGTTGCGCTCCCTGCTGACGGGAAGACTGAACTCGACGGCACTACGGCGGCCCCTGGATTCGGTCCTGCCGACTTTCCGACTGCAACTCCAGCATACGTACTCCAACTACACCCGGTAGCGGCTTTGCACAGCCCTGCGAGATCGATCTTGAATTTCAACATGCGAAACACAGCGCGCTGCGCCTCGGAAGTCACCCAGGAGCAGATACAGCCTGGCCAGGCCTGCCTGATTTCAGGGAGAAGTCAGCGAGAAGTGGAAAGCAAACTGTTCCAGTATAAATTTAAGAACTTGAGAACAGACGAAGACTGCAATCCCGATCGCCCTATCAATCTGCTTGATCTGGTAGGCATGTGTGGCACTGCCTGGGTCTGATGCACTCCCGGCAGTACTGAAAGGGCAGCCTTGGCTCCGCTCAAGGGCTGAAGAACAAAATCTGAGTCTAAATGGTCAAAGGTCTACCTTACACATGGATGCCAAGCAGCGGGAAAGTCGCCGGTGTGATACTTCTCAACCTGAGCAATCGAGAGAGTCCGGCGCGTTCAATCAGCACGAAGTCGCTCAGTAGTCCCTGGACAAATCTGGCTTGTGCATGTGTGCATGCAGGTGGGTGGGCTTTCATTTGTATCATGGGTATTGGCAGGGCCATTCCCAGCTCCAGCTGCTCCCGTCGCGGGAAGTTTCACCCTCATTCACATCCCATCTCATCTTCGTGCTGCGCCCTTCCTCTGCGTCTGGCACAGGGAGGCCAAAACCCTTGTATTCGGGGCATCTCGTTTTGTTGTGTATGCGATGTATGCCATTCTTCGTGTCTGGCACACGTGGTACACCAGAATCTTCATCTACATTCGTTATCATCATCATCGCCTTCATCGTCATCATCACTATTGTCATTACCAACATCATGGACTCACATGTGCTTTCCAGCATGCAAGAAGTCAAAATAATGATGAGCCTACAGCCTACAGGTGTATGTGTGTGTGTGTGTGTGCGTGTGTGTGTGTGTGTGTCTCTGCGTGCATGTGTCTGTGTGTATGTGTGTCTGTGTGTGCGTGTCCCTGTCTGTCTCTGTGTGTGTGTGCTTGTGCGCATCTGTGTGTGTGTGTGTGTGTCTGTGTCTGTGTCTGTGTCTGTGTCTGTGTCTGTGTCTGCGTCTGCGTCTGGGTCTGTGTCTGTGTCTGTGTCTGTGTCTGTGTCTGTGTCTGTGTCTGTGTCTGTGTCTGTGTGTGTCTGTGGGTGTCTGTGGGTGTCTGTGTGTCTGTGTGTTTGTGTGTCTCTGTGTCTGTGTGTCTGTGTGTCTCTG